GCAGATTGTTCTATTACAGAAGTATTCAGCATAAATAGTATAGATTCAACTTAAATCTCTTATTTTATTAATAAGAGGAAATAAAATTTGTGAATGCATGAAAACATCTTGTAAGCGGTTCAAATAACTTAAAATTGTAAAAATATTTATGGCACACAGACTGTGTAGATTCTAATGTTTATGTAGATAACTATGTTAATATATATATAAAGAGGGGGAGCTGTAGTGATAATACAAAACTTAAAAAATCTGAAAATAACATGATTTGTCTTGGAATTATTTATGTGATCTTTAGGCCAAAATGTTTCATTTAATCTTAAAATTATGTTTTTATTTCCTGAATATAAACAAACTGACTTAGATAAGTGTCCATAAACATATGGAGATGCATAATGCTTTTATGAGGATTAACCTACTTGCAGATAATTAAAATCTGACTACATTATGCGTCACAGAGAGCATGAGTGATTAGTTAGGTCACACTGCTTTTTTTTTTTTTTTTTTCTTTTTCCTGGTGTCTGGGTTCCACACACTGCTTCTTAATGCTGAGCAACATCTGATGACAGCATTACTGTTCTATCACAATATAACTCGTATAATGAATATTATCTCAAGTCCCATAAAATTCCTTTGGAATATGTGAGAAAATACTCAAAGTGTGAAGTTACAAAAATCTTTATCAGGCCACTGATGCATATCAACATAGACAGAATATAGACAAAGACTGTAAGCTTCTTATGGCTGCATTATGTCTGATTCAGCTTCCGACTTTCTGGGGTAGAGTTTCCCAGACCTAGTTGTGCATATGAAATCACTAGAATTACTGAAAAACAACACAGATACCTAATATATTACCTTCTACCTTTAGAACAAGCATGTTTAAGGATGGGGCCTCTGAATATTCCTTTTAAAACCTCCCCAGTTTATTCTAAAATAATTGGTTACCAGGAACGATTTTGGCACCCCTGGCCAGAGAGTATAAAATGTAGGAAATCAATAAACACTTGTTGAGTGACTGAGACAGCAGTTTTCAATGTGGCAGCTAATACATTGAGCCTTCTCAGTGTCCACATTTAATTTTTGATGATTTGGCATCTATTAATATAGCACTATTTATGTATTTTATAGTCCAGAAAGGGGAAATAATAAGTGAGATTATACATCTCAGGAAGGTATTGTTCCCTAAATATTCATTGTGTACAATCAGCTAAGTTAATTTCCCAAGGATATCTTGGGAAAAGGTATTACATCCATAATTTTAGCTTCTATTAGTATGAGACTATTATGGAACAAGACAGGATTCCCCTCCTTGAAACTTCAGTGTCAGAAGATGGCTGAAATACTCTCACTTGGAGTATTTTTAGGCTGTGTGATTTCACAACAGTATTTCGTGTTTGAAATCTAATCTTTTCCCATTAGATTATCAATTCAATTCAAGATAAAAACAATGTAGCATCTGGAATTTCTTCAGCCTTCCTTTCCCTAAATACTGACCAATGGAGATTAAGAGAGACATAAAACAAGATAAAAACTCTCTCCGTGGGGCCTCTATTGTAGTACTCTAATTAGCACATTTGCAAACATGGAAGTGACGAAAACTGCAAACTATGTTTGGTGGTTTTGGTCATATGTCCCCATGCAGCAATGAGTATAATGGGCAACAATATTCATTAAGCCTTGCTGTGCTAAATTACACCTTTACAAAAAATCTTCTCTGCCTGTACATGCCTGGCTTCTTTACCTTCTGCTCTCATGACAGCCCTCTGCTCATACTTCTATCTTAACCCATCTTGTGAGATTTCCCAGCACATACACTTAGGAGTTTCCTATGGAAAGTCTGCTGCTTCCAATATTCACCTTCTTCACACCAGGCCCAGAAATCAGACACCCTTTCACTTTGCACTTATTTGCCTCAGCTCACATAGGCCAAACTTGACAATTTCAGCAGTTACTGGACAGGTATTGTCTCCAAACAGCTTTAGTATAATCAGTAAGACAGCCCACAGCATGCAAAGATAACAATCCATCCACCATCCATCAGCACTTTCCTTTACAGCTACTGCCGTATCCACAGCCCTTGACTACGGTATAAATGAATAGACATGACCTTGAGAGAATGTCAGCATCAGTGAGAGACATTAAGATGTCAACATTCCATGTGCTTCTTTAACATGCAAAAATCACTTGGAGCCCAATGGGATGAATTAAATTGCCTTGATCCTGTAGGGCAGAAGCCTTTGTCGCAATTCATTCCCCACTGACTGAGATAGAAAGGCAAATATATTAAAACATGTTAAATAATTTTATATTGAGAATGCAGATACAACACCTTGCTTTTCTATTGTTTTGCTTACACTGTTTTCAACAATTATTTTACTTTACTGCTTTGTTTTCTCCTCCTACTAACATTATCATACTCTCAGTTTCTCTATTACACTACTCTATCCCCACAGTGAGTGAGCACAGACTGTTCATTTCTTTTCCTTTGCTCATAAAAGACATATTGCAAATGTGATTTGCATATCTGAGTGATATTTCTGGGCAGCACAATTATGACTTGATGTGCTATTACGATTCATCCTTTCTTATTTTTCTGTTTTGGATATTACAAAATAAATATTAATAGTACTTTTAATATTTCCCTTTACTTGAGTGCATGATCCCACATAATTGTCATGATGGAGACCTCTGGCATAGTAGAGAATGATCTTGGTAATCCTGTTCACTGCCCACTCTGGAGCAGGCTGCACTGGTTGCCTAGTGCTATGCCCAGGAACACTGCCTGGCCATGGGCAGAAAGGATGAATGGTAATAGCACACCAAGATGGCAACTGAAGACTCCCGCAGTGACAATTCCAAAAGAAATTGTCAGAAAATGCATGGCATTTTCTAACCTATCTTGGAAATCATAAAGAGTCACTTCCACCATATTCTATTTGATGAGCAAATGGCAGAAGCCCTCTTGGGATCAAGAGGTTGGGACACAAGCTGCCTCCTCTTGATGGGAAGGTGGCAAAGAATTTTCAGACATGTTTTGAAACTACTGCATGGTTACATGGTTACATGGGTGTTCTTATAATTTATCCATGAACTGTTTAATTTTCTGTGTTGGATTTTTCTGAATGTGTGTTTACATTTTACAACTAAAAAGTGAGGAAAAAAAATAGTAAAAAGAACAACGTGCTAGTCTAGTAAGGAGGGCCAAGATCTACCAAAGTGGTGAGGGTCATTGTGCTTCACAGTGTTTTTATTTCCTCACAACTCTTGCGATGGTTAATTTTGTGTGTCAACTTGTCTGGGTCACAGTGCCCACATATTTGGTCAAACATTATTGTGGATGTTTCTGTGAACGTGTTTTTCTGGATGAGATTCACATGTAAATTGGCAGAGTTTGAGTAAAGCATATCATAATGTGAGTGGGCCTCATCCAATCAATTGAAGACCTGAGTACAAAGACTGACCTCTGAGCAGAATGCCTTGGGACCCAGATGGTAAATAATCTCTGGTCTCCAGTCTGCCAGCCTACCCTACAGGTTTGGATTTGCACCTTCACAGTCATGTGAGCCATTAAACAAATTTCTTCTCTCTTTTTTCCCCACTCTGTCTCTCTCTCTCTCTCTCACACACACAAACACACACACACACACACACACACACACACACACACACACACACACACACACAAAATTTTATTGGTTCAGTTTCTTTGGAGAACCCTGATTAATAAGATCTTTAATGCTTAGTTTTAAGTTTCTAACAACTTGGGCTTGGCATCCAAACTCTTACCTCGCAAGAATGCTGAGATCCATCAGAACTGTGTCCTTGCACATTTTCTTAGACCCTGTGATAGGCAGAAAAATGCCCCCCACCAAAAGATGTTCATGTCCTAACCCCTAGAAACTCTGAATATGGCAAAAGAGACTTTGCAGATAAAATTACATTAGGAATCCTGAGATGGTGAGATTATCCTGAATTACCCAGATGGACGCAATGTAATCACAAGAGCCCTTCTGAGAGGGAGGCAGGAGTGTCAGAATTTGAGGCGAAGAAGATGTGATGACATGATCAGAGGTCAGAGTGTGCCAGTGAGTCACTGGAAGAGAGCCACAAGCCAAGGAACACAGCAGCCTCTAGAAACTGAAAAGGTTCCAGAACCAGTCCACTCACATTTTGATTTTAATTCCACAAAACCTGTTTTTCAGACTTCTGAATTATAGGACTGAAAGAAAATTGATATGTATTGTCTTAAGCCACCAAGCATGTGGTAACTTGTCATAGCAGCAACAGATTTAAATTTTAAAAATACAATTCCTTTCTGTTTTTTCTCACTCATGACTTTTCTTATATTGTTGAAACACTTCCCCAGGCTGCCTCTGTTAAACCCTACCCAGTGTTAAAGGTTCAGCTCAGATGCTTTCTTATCCCTAAAACTTTATTATTGCAGCCGGGAATGATTCGTACTCCTCTAAAACTCTAGAGCACTTCACAGCATTGATAGTCGCTTCATCACATATTACTTCATTGACGTTATTTGAAGTCAAGGTTCTATACTTGTTTTGCTGCTCCACAGTTCTCAGTTCACATATTTTACACCTATTAGGCATACATATTAATTGAATAAATGAACTTAAAGAATGTTATCATAAAATATTATTATTAGGGACAAGATCAGGGTTTGTTGCCCAGGCTGGAGTGCAGTGGACCTATCATAGCTCACAGAAGCTTCCAACTCCTGGGCTCAAATGATCCTTCTGCCTCAGCCTCCTGAGTAGCTGGAACTACAGGCATGTGTCACCATGCCTGGATAATTTTACAAAGTTTTTGTAGAGATGAGGTCTTGCTTTGTTGCCCAGGATTGTCTTAAATTCCCGGCTTTAAGCAATCTTCCCACCTTGGGCTCCCAAAGTACTGAGATTACAGGCATAAACCACCACTTCCACTAATAACATATAAAACAGTTGACATTTTATAGAAAAATAGAAAAATAAATTATAACATACGTTTGCAATTTCATATGATCCATTTAATATCTGCTCCACATAATGATTTAGATCTCTGACTCTTTTGTGATCTGAATTTGTAAAAGGTAGGTGCCACCAATGAGGAAACCTGTTTTAAGATAAAAAATGTTATCGTCATTAGTTTGAAAACTAGCCTTTGCATCTTAGGATTGTTCGTGAAGTTACAGCTGTATCAGATGGAAGGGCCAATGAAAACATTTGAAAAAGTTACAGCCTATGTGATTAATCCTAAGAGGTGTATTAATATGGCTATGGTCATTTGTGCCATATTAACTGCCATTAATATTAATACAAAATTTAATTTAATTTGACATATTAAATTAATTTATATGTCCTTTCTTACTGTATTTATGGCAGACCACACATTTTGTCTTTTAAACATATGTGGGGTCTTAATAAAATCCTTTCTGAAGTTAATAGTTCAAAAATTTTAAAAATGTTCAGATTGTATTGTTTCTTCTGGGTTCACTAAAGACACCATTACACTAACTAAATTAAACAATTTAGCAAGTGACATATGCTTCCAACTGCTCTTAGCCCTCTAAAAAAGTAACACTTTCCCCAAGAGTCTGACTACTTGCAGAATTTCCTTTGCACAAGCTGATGATTCATCTTGATGGGTTGACCTTGATTAAGACCAATTATTAGGTGGAATGACCTATTAACGGGTAGCATTTGGTAACATATCTTGCTGTCCAAATATACATTTTTAGGAACTACCTAGCAGTCTCTTCTGACTCCAGTCACTGCTGCTTCATCCATACTTCTGCTGGTTTTGTACAAACCATGGCTTGCCTACCATGCTTTGAGGGGAAATGAACATGGAGGATACTAAAGGACAGCCAGCAAAGACACAGATGTATGTGACGATTTCATGCCACCCCATTGATTCCTGTTGGAAATGTCAGGAAAGTCCAAAACTCTATGCTTGTATAATTAAACAATGAACATTTTATTTTTTAAAGTAGCTTGCAGACTCTAAAGCTTAAAAGTTTAAAAATTTTTAATCTAAATCATGAAAAATAGTATCAGTATACAATTAATTGAAAATACAGCATAGAAGATAGATAGATAGATAGACAGGTAGATAGATAGATATTCTATATATCTAGATATACATAGTTTTTTGGGGGGGGTAATGAATTTGGTAAATGAGACATTAGACTGATTTTTGAGTATTAATTCATATGTCTGTGTATGAATTTTCCTTGGTAGAATGAAACAAAAGTCAACATCAATTCTACTACTTTGTTAATGTTTTTACAGATATATGTACTAAAACATCTTATGTATGAATAAGTACATGAAAATTGAGGAATGCTTCTATAATACTGTCATTTGAAACTTCTTTGAGTCATATGTCAAATATAGCAGTTAGTTATTGAAATTACTTTTTATGACCTTTTGTCTGACAGTATCATCGCATCCTCCCTCAATTTCATTCACAACAAAGGTTAGAAAACATCTGACAAAGATTCGATTTGATATTTGATTATTAGCGTAATTCATTTTCTCAATACAAACCCCAGTATTTTGATTTGCCCTTTTGTCTGTTCCTCAGTAGTTTCTATAGCCTGATCAGTGTACCAAAATAAAATTTCAGATAGTTGGGAGAAGAAGTCAACTCTCACCAAGCACATTAATTTTCTAAATATAATTATTTATTTTAAGGAATATTTTAATATCTGTGTACTCCTGGAAGTTACCCAGAAACACAAATATCTGATTTGAAGCCCACTGTTAGATGGAATGGACTGATTAGAACTTCATTCTTCATGACTCTGACTTTCTGATCATGACTTCCAGATCACATTTACATAACTCTTATAGGGCTTCTCTCAGTAAATTTGGAAGTCATAAGGAATCTTCATCCTTCATTTATGTGCATCACAGTGAGCCTGGGCCCCTTTGAGAGTGTCAGTATACAAACAGTGTTCAGGACACATAGGACAAAATGTTCCTTGCTTCCACAGGTTGCTTCCACAGTTTGAAAATCAATGTAAGAATGAATCCCCAGGCAGCAGACATGAGCAAAGCAGAATCTTAACAAAAGCTGAAAATTGAAAAGAGGCCTATTGAGATAGATTATTTGAAATTTTAAAGTTTTGCAAGCTATACTGATATGTATTGAAGAGGTACAGTGAAGAACAGAGACATTTTTGAAACCAAAAAAGGATAGCCATTAAGTAAATATTCACTTATTCTTCTCGATAATTAATTACTAGGATATCATGGCAAACATTGATGTTGAATGTGGTATTTGCAGCCCAATGTTGAAGTTTTTTGCCTGTGTCTCTTTTTTTCAGTTATTCTATCAGATTTTTTGATAATTCTAAAACTTGATGGTACTTCTAAAAGTTTCCAGAATAAATTTACCTCCCTCTCAGTCTCTTGAGTATACTCTTAATTTCTTGACTTCCTGATGCTTAAAGCATCTGCATTTTAAAAATCCCTCTTACATATGCCACTACAGTTTTTTTTTTCGTGAATGTAAACTACTCAGTTTTTAATATTATACAATATCTCCCCATGGACTGATAACTTTCCTTATATTTATATTTTGGAAGGTGACCAAATTTGAAAGCCAAGTAAAAATTCCCGTGTATAAAGTATGCCAGGTAAAGTATGAACAATTACATCATAAAAGGACCGTTTACTTAACAAAAATCTCACTGTAGATAAAACAATATTTGATTAACCTAAATGCAATATTATAATTTCTGGAAAGTTCACATTTTAAAAATCAAGGTATACCTTTTTTAATAGACTGAAGTCTATAATCAAAAATTTGACTGGTTAAAGTGATGAATTTTAGAAGAGTTGTTTGAACAGCAGTTATTTTTATGATATTTTTAGTTTGCTTATGTTTAATATTTTTCCATTATAACATAAATGAAAATAATGATTGTCAAGATGGCCTCAAAATGAACAGAATAACAAATTAAATTTAGATAATGCAAGTTAATTTAAAAGTCAAAAATTAATGGCAACAAAATGAGTTAGTACTATACCAATTGATATGAATAAATTTACTTTATTTTGGTATAGAAACTAAAATATATATATAGACTTTTTATTGCAGTTATTTGTTGAAAAAGTAAACATATTAAACCTATCCAAATTTATTCTGCAATTTCAATTTCAATTGCATTTTTATAGAAAATAACTAAGGGGATTAAATTTAAAAACAGGCAAATAAGACCATTTTATCAATAATCGAAGAAAAACTAAGTAGCTTTTGAAATTGTCTGTCTACAAAATCAATGCCTGGAAGTAAATAGAAAATTGCAAACCTTGCTCTGTTTTATGAGACAAAAGATTCTTCACTCTGAGAGCAATTCACTCTCTGCTGGGATAGATTCAATGGCATTGGAGTCAGAATACTGTGTTGCCCACAAATAGAAAATCCCATAACCATAATTTTTCTTTTTTGCTCAAGGACAAATACTGAAGGCAAAACAATGTAAAAGGACATTGCCTTACTCTGGGAGAGTCAGTGATACGAACTGCTTCTGAAGTTGGCTGTGAAGTTTTAAAAACTGGTCAAATGATTTTTCTGTCAGGCTTGTTTCATTGTTGCTGTGTGTCACCTGGATCAGATACAGCTGCAGAAAATAAATAGACAGAAATCAAAAGATGGCCTGTGATGCATTCTAAAAGTTGATTTTATGTAAACCAAATACAGGAAGAAACTTTCTGCAAAACATTATCATAAAAGCTAAGAGATGCACTTTGTAAAGGCAAAATTACCTATAAACAATATCTAAGACTATCATAATCATATGTGCTAGGAACAAATTGGCTAATTTTTGCTGTTCTTGTGAACATTTTAATTAGTTCTCGATTTATACTCTACCACAGGACAGGAATTGTTCTCTTCGATGGTTCTCTACTAACAGCTCTTGTTGTTATGATTTTTCCTGGGAACATCCTCTTAATGACACTCCTGCTTAAATTGTACCTAATTTTTCATTTGCTTAGTAAAAGAAATTATAAGAAATGCTGTGTCGCACAGTGAAGGGAAGTCTGAGATGAAGTCAAATGATACTTAAGACAAGATGACAGACTTTAAACTTACATTACTGGATTTCTTGCTGAACCCTAAAATTGTTGCTCTTTGAATCGACCTAGTTGTACTCAGCAAACAGGACTCCTGGGGAAAAGTCTGCAAAGTAGATTTGGCAGGGCTTATGGCTGACATTTGTGCAAGCGTGTGGATCAAGTTATTCAATTTAACAGGGAAACACTCCAGACTTTCCTTTATTTTCCTAGAGAAATGTAAAAGAAAAGATAGTGAGTAACATTCCTCTGCATCTACTCATTTCATTTACTATCTGTTTCCCTGTGTTGGTCAGTTGTAGGGGGAAAAAGCCAAGAACCATGTAGGTTTATTTGGAGCCCAACTATTAAATGTTATTTGTATAGACTTCAAGTTCACATCTGGAGTTGTTAGCAAATAAATATGCAAAAAGTCTTGTGATGAAATATAAACTGTAATTGCTATATTGTATGATGACATTTTAATAAGATTTAATATTTTGTTCTTTATTTGGGGGAGATTTTTAAAAAAATTAATTCTAGCTTATAATTATTTAAAATATTTAAAAAATTCCAGAAGTTAAATCTACCAAGTAACATACATTCAAAGAAGCCTAGTAGCTATTCCCATACTTTCTAACCTATTCTTTCCCTTCCTTTATATTTAAACAGTTTTAACACTATGGCTCAATTTTCATTGTTTAGCTTTTAATTTAAATTTTATTTATATATATATTTATATTTATCTTTAAAAGAGTAGCATACTTAAGTACTATATTTAACAGGCAAGTATTTTATATAAAATATATTTTTTGATTTGTTTTCCTTTGTTTTTGGTGTTTTTATTTTTGTTGTTTCTGCTTTTTAAAGTTTTTTTTTGCATTTGTTTTCCTTTGTTTTTGGTGTTTTTATTTTTGTTGTTTGTGATTTGTTTTCCTTTGTTTTGGGTGTTTTTATTTTTGTTCCTTCTGCTTTTTAAAGTTGTTTTTTTTTTTTTGTATTTAAGAAAGTTTGCATTCTAATAGCATAAATATCCTTCTATAATTTCCTTTACCTCTTTTTTTATTTTTCATTCAATATCTATTGAGAACAATATGGAAATTAGCTAAAAGCTTGTTTTTATACTGTTTTTCCCTTTTCTCCAGTATTTGATTTGCAATTTTACTCTTTTAATCTCAGTTAATACCATAAAGCAAACAGTATGCTTATTCTAATTTTAATTTGTGACTCCTAGCCCCCATTTCCATTTTTGTTTTCAGAGATAAGGTCTTGCTCTGTCGCTCAGGCTGGAGTATAATGGTGAGATAGGCTCTGAATCTTAGGCTCAAAGGATCCTCCCTCTTCAGCTTCCTGAGTAGCTAGGATTACAGGTATGTGCCAGTATGCCTGTCTAAATCCACCTCCATTTTTTATTGACCTATAATTGTATAGTACAATTGAACTATATTGTATAGTATGTCCACTAAACACATTTTTTGGTTTCTCTTACAACCTTCCCTTAATTATAAAGTCTCCACCAGTTCTTATGCCCATGTCTCTACAGTCACTTTATCTGAAACTCATTCTCCACTAAATTCTTCAAGAAGTGGTCAAGGAAATAAGTTTCTAAGTTCTTGTAAGCTGGCAACAGTTGGTCTGTGGCCTTTATACTTGAAAGTTAGATTGCCTGGCTATAACATCATTGGCTCATGTTTTCTTTTTTGAGTGCCAAAAAGATGTTCTATTTTCTTCTGGAATAAAAGATTACTATTCAAAACTCTGATGACATAGTATTATTTCCCATATAAGTGAGTTAGTCTTCCTGCCTGGATGCTTACAGGAAGTTTCTCTTTCTACAAAGTTCAGCAGTTTTTCTAAAACGTGTTTCCATATTGGTTTTTCTGGGTAATTTTTTTGAAAATGCAAGTACCCTTTCAATATATAATTTCAATTCCTTTCACTTTTCAAAATTTTTTTTCTTATAGTGTTAGTATTTGTTAAAATATTGAATATATTATTTAGTTTTGATACAGTTTTATATATTATTTGTTTTTCTTTTTTCAGGGACTACTATTATGTGTATGTTTGATCTTCTTTGCCTTTATTTCTTTTTTATTTTAAAAGTTCTTTCTGTTTTCACCTTCTTTCTTGAGGCACTGTGTGTTGTGTTGTGTTTGTTCATTCCCATGTCTCTTCTAGCTTATTGTTTTTAAAATCATGTTTTATGTCTAATACTTACTTGGGATCAATCGCTTCCCTTCTGAGGTTTCCTAATTGTGGTCTATGTCGTACCTTCATATATTTATCATTTTCTTAATTTCTTTTATCTTATTTAAATATAAGGATACAGTTTATCCTTTTGGTGGGCATGTCTTTCTGGCCCACTTTTTTTTGTAAGGATATTATTTTGCTTCTTATTTCTCTTTTTCTTGTTATGATTCTATATAAATTCAATCATGGTCGTTTTTCTTTTCTTTTCTTTTCTTTTCTTTTCTTTTCTTTTTTTTTTTTTTTTTTTTTTTTTTTTTTTTTTTGTAGATGGAGTCTTTCTCTGTCGCCCAGGTTGGAGTGCAGTGGTGCCATTTCAGCAAACTGCAACCTCCACCTCCTGGGTTCAAGCAATTCTCTCCCTCAGCCTCCCGAGTGGCTGGGACTACAGGTGCCCCCACCAGGGCTGGCTAGTTTTGCATTTTTAGTAGAGATGGGGTTTCACCATCTTGATGAGGCTGGTCTTGAACTCCTGACCTCGTGATCCACCCTCCTCGGCCTCCCAAAGTGCTGGGATAACAGGCGTGAGGCACCATGACCAGCCCATGGTCATTTTTCTTGTTCTTTTTTATATAAAATTAACTTTCAGGAAGGAGTAGAGGACTTTTTAGGGTCTGGGGCTTCCTTTTCTGTTGCTGTTACATAGTGATTAAAAACACATGATTTTGGCCAGGCGAGGTGGCTCATGCCTGTAATCCCAGCACTTTGGGAAGGCAAGGAGGGTGGGTCACTTGAGGTCAGGAGTTTGAGACCAGCCTGGACAACATGGTAAAACCCCCTATTCTACTAAAAATACAAAAATTTAGCGAGGTGTGGTGGCGGATGACTGTAATCCCAGCTACTTGGGAGGCTGAGGCAGGAGAATCACTTGAACTGAGGAGGCAGAGGTTGCAGTTAGCCAAGATTGTGCTATTGCACTCTCACCCTTGCCTGTGAAATCGAGTGTGCAAAAAGTACTTCCAGTTTCAACTGCTTTTCTCAAATTAGCCTGCTCAATTTCCTACAAGTATCTGTTGGCTCTTTTGGAGTACTACTCTGAGGTCAGCCAGAGTATCCGTGGTTTCGTTTAGCTTCCTCCTATTCAAATGCTCGTACCACACAAATCTTGTAACTTAATGGTTTGCCTCCACCTGCTTTTATTGTACGGTTCTTGGGTATACCTTGTTACCTAGTTTTGTCATAAATGTTGTCCAAGCTTTTGGATTTTGCTATCCTAGTTGATCTGCCTGTTTTATGTAAGAGATTTAGGGACATTTAAAAACTTGGCATTTTTGCATATATAATTCACATAACACAGGAAAATATAAAGTAAAATGGAAAATATAAAATATAAAGTAAAAAGTTTCCCTTTTTCTTTTCGCCATGGGACACCAGTGGCCCTCCCCAGAAATAACCACTGTAAGCAGTTTAACATCATTCTTTTTTGAACTTTTTCTATATATTTGTGCAAACACATAGACATGTAAACACATAGACACACACATTATCCTTATTCCTCTTACATGCCAGCTACTATTCTAGTGATGGGATTTAGCAATGAACAAAAGAGACAGAAGTTTTTTGCTCTTTTAGAGTTTGTATAATGTAAAATTCTGATAATAATCAAGTAAAAATATGGAATTTTATAAAGTAATAGAAAATAGGCAGAGGAATCATGGGGGTAGGTAATAGTATTACAATTTTAAATAGGATGTCCACTGATAAGTGCTCATCTTACTGAAAAGATGAGCTGAGTGATTTGACAAAGACCTTAACTTGTCATGAAAGTAGGCCAGGGGAATTTCTGATAAAATGCATTTTAGGCAGAAGCAACAGCTAGTCCACAAGTTCAGAGGTACAGCTCAGACTAGAGTGTTTAATGAGCAGCAAAAGGATGGCAGTGTGGCTGACACAAAGTGAGTAGAGTCAGAAGGGAATCAAAGACCTAAAAGGACAATTGCATAAGAACTTTGACTTTGTATGAGATGAGAGTTAGAGAAGAATCAGAATTGTATGAAATGTTGCAATTTTTTTAACTCAATATTTTACAGGGAAAAATTAATAGTAACTGGTACATAGTAAGTGATCCAAAATATTTGTTGAATGAACAATCTTTCTAATTCAGAACATAGCATTAAATCAATGTTTACCACTAAGGATAATGTTTTCTGTAGGTTTTTAGCTGTATGTTAATGACATTCTTTTTTATTCTTTTCTAAATGAGTAGTTCTACATTTTATTAACTACATTTTTCTGTATCTGTTTAGGTGATCATATATTTTCTTTTTAAGTTTTAAAGACTGAGTCTTAAATGTTTACTTTGTAACCACTTATTTAACTGAATTCTTGTTATTTTGATTTGTGTGTGTGTATGTTAATTCTCTGGGATTGTATTTATTATTGTATTATTCAATTGAAAAAATAACTACATAACAAAGCTTAATTATAGAGCTTTATTATCAATATAGAAGATACTATCTTTTCCCCACCATTAATGAGAATGCTTATAATTTTTCACTTTTGAAAATATGATGCTTATCTAAGCTTGCATCTATTCTGAGTGTACTAAAATTTTCCAGGAGGAATGGATGTTGAATGTAATCCAGTATGACTTTTCTGGGTTGGCATCTATCAAAGTGATCATGCAATACCTCCTTTACAACTAATCTGCCATGTCCTCAATGGTAAAAATGTGCTTCAATTATGTTAAATAATTTTCCCTTGAATTTCATAAAAATTCAAGGCCATTTATCTTTTTCTGGTCTTAAACTTTTTTGAAAAAACTCCAAATTATGTCACTATCATACATCAATTCAGGCCAAAATTTGCAAAGGAAGTTAAAATATGACTCTGATCCCATTATTCATCTCCACAGTGTTCACCACTTCTAAAGATGTTGTTTGCACTTATGAATTTATGAGTACACAGTGCAGTACAAAACATCAATTTATTTCTTCATCAGCACTTTAAAGACATGAGGATAATAATAATAGTAGGAGTATAA